CTCTCTCTCTCTCTCTCTCTCTCTCTCTCTCTCTCTCTCTCTTTCTCTCTTTCTTTCTCTCAATGTATGTTTCCGATGATACCGCCGTTCTTATTGTATGCGCGCGTGTATTGTTCATGATCCTTAAGCGAGATTAACGCCTGCATTTGAATTGAATGCAGCTGACGCAATAGCAGTGGATGGTGGATATATCAGCATCAGTCCCACTGCGCACGAACTCGTCGCGTGCTGCGATAAAATTAATATGGACGTCGCGACAAAAGCTCGAGCTTTCAACCAAATCACTTCGCTTCGCTTCGCGTCTATTATAGAATCTAAATTAATAAACGGACGCGCATAGCACGTTAATGTAAAAATGACAGAAATTCATCCGTGATTTTGTATTGCAGGTCTCCGGATGCAACTCGAAGCGAGAAAGCGCACAGGAGCGAGATAGAGAAGACGAGAGAGAAGGAGTGACAGAGAAAGAGAAGGAGAGAGAGAGAAGGAGTGACAGAGAAAGAGAAGGAAAGAGAGAGAGAGAGAACGAGAAAAGCAAAGCGTGCGCACGCATGTACGTCTACCTGTACAGATCTGACCGTACTTTGTCTACAAGGCGGATTCATCACGTGGAAAACTCGATGCGCGTTGAGTGTTAAGAACGCGCGACCCTCTCTTGTGCGCATGCGCGACATCTGCCGACCACCACGTGGGGCGACGGAGAACTGCAAGCCGACGCGTCGTCGCGCGCGCGGGCAACGCTAACTTCAAGACTCGTGTCGTCGTCGCCTCCCCTCAGCACGGGCATGCGCGGTGCGCGCCGGCGGCGGCGGCAATGTGACAATGACCTTCCATGCCATCACGGCCGTGCCCCTCAGCATCGTCACCGCTCTCGGTCTCCTAGGCAACGTGCTCACGCTCGCTACCACCGCTCTCCACCCGCTTAAAACCAGCATGAACACGCTCATGCTCAATCTAGCGCTGTGTGATCTACTATTCGAGGCTCTAGACTGCGTACCGATGACGGCCTACACCGCGCAGTCGCGCTGGCCGTTCAGCATCGCCACGTGTAAGGCGCACAACTATTTCCGTACGATCACTGTGTACGTGAGCGCCTACACGCTGCTGTTCATGTGCACGGATCGTCTGCTAACGCTATGGAGTCCCAACAAGGACCGACATCGGAACTACGTCGCTGCGGTCGTCTGGCTGTGGGTGGTCGTCGCTATCGGCGCTTGTTATACGTTCTCGATAACGAGGCTGACGTCGCCGCCACACGCGGAGTGCACCCTGGCGCCAGGCACAGCTATCACACGCATGCACTACCTCGCCAAGTTTGCGCTCGCCTTCTGCGTGCCCGTGGCGCTCTCTGGCGTCTGCGTCGGCGTGTCCTGCTGCCTCGGTTGTCGCTACGAGCAGCAATATCGACACTACACCGCCTGCGAGACGGACGTACAGCATAACTCCATAGCTGCGTCACGCGTGCATCTCATGCTAGCGCCCCGACAGAGGTATTCGGCCCGCGGCGGCGGTGACGGTGACGCTGACGATAGACTCGAGGTACGTCGCATGACGATCACCGTGTCTACGATCCTCGTCATCTCGACGCTCTTCTGGCTTCCGAATTACGTCATGGAGCTGCTGATGATATATGAACCTGCGGCGCTAGCTCGCTTCGGCATGCAAGAGAGTTACTGGCTGACGGGCGTGTCTCTCTGCCTCGCTTACTTCATCCCCGCTGCTAGACCGCTCGTGTATTTCATCCTGCTGCCGACGTTCCGGCAGCAGTGTTACCGGACTGTGCTCTGCACGAGGCAGCGGCAGCCGCAGCACTACCACGTGAACAGCTTTAGTCCTGTGCATCAGACGCCGACGGCAGCGGCTCGAGAGACGACAGTATGACAGCGATCCTAGCCTAGGTGTTCATACGTGGTGGCCGAGATAGCGGTAGTTCATGTACCTTCATCACGGTGTGTGTTTGCGTACCTTCATAGTGGGAACGTGTTCCTACACGGACATTCATCACCGGAACGTGTACGTACGTTCATGAAACCTTCATCGTATGAAGAACGAATTTCTTCGCGTACCTTCACCACGGGAACGTGTGCGTTCATGTACCTTCACCACGGGAACGTGTACGTTCATGTACCTTCACCACGGGAACGTGTACGTTCATGTACCTTCACCACGGGAACGTGTACGTTCATGTACCTTCACCACGGGAACGTGTACGTTCATTAAACCTTCATCGTATGAAGAACGAATGATCTTATCGCGTACCTTCACCCAGTGTTACATTATAGTACCTTTTACGGGCACGGGAAACGTGTACGTTGCATGTACCGTTCACCACGGGAAGTGTACGTTCATGTACCTCACCACGGAACGTGGGTACGGTGGTCATCGGTACCGCAGTTCACGGCACGGGAACGTGTACGTTCAAGTACCTACGCCAACGGAAACAGTGTAACTTCATGTACGAATTCTCGCCGGGAAACGTGTACGTTGCACGTACCTCTATCACGGAACGTGTACCGTTCATGTACCTTCTCCACGAAGCGTGTACGTTCATGTAGCGGCTTTTATGAACGGGAACGTGTCGTTCAATGTAGCCTATTATGCACGGAGAAGCGTGTACGTTCATGACCGTTCACGCACCGGGAACGTGTAACGTTCACTGGTACGCTTCATCGCTGAACGAACCGCATTGTTCTATGGCTTTTTACTCGTCCATGACGGCAACTTGTTACTGATGCACGCCTAGAACGCGTCTAAGAACTATCAGAATGCTACCCGCATCTCGGATATACTATAGATTCTTATAATCAATCTCACATTGCGGACCAAATCGGATTTATGTATATTTACGTTATCACTAATTACGTATAAAATTTATGCAGCATTCGCATCGGTTACGTCGGAATTAATATTATTATATTTAGAAGTAATACCTGTAGCATGAACAGACAACATGTACAGGCACGTACAGAGTCAGGCTACGCATGCTCGCCTAGATTTTGGAGCAAAATTAAAAAATAAATGTTCTTACTAAAAGAGAATTGTCGTAGTCACGAATGAAGACTCGTACATGCGTACTCAAAAGTGCCTGCAAATACCATCTCTTCGAATCTACATATTTCAAAATTTTCGGTGGGAGGACCTCACTCACACCATCTCCAACCTGTTCTCACCCCTTCTTTGAAATCCTGGAACCGCTACTGTCCCCCCCCCACCCTTAGGGAATTTGCTCCGCCTACGCCCGTTCAGCCATCGTGTTTTCTGAATTGATTTTACCATGCGCGCGCACTACACACGCTTTTACGTCATTTCAACCGCAGGCTCTCGTCGTCTGCTTAAATGGATTTTTTTCTAAGCGATCCTTCTTTTTATCTCATTTACACACACGCACGCACGCGTGTTTCGTATTAGCGAATGCGAATGCGGTTTTAACTTGTAGGTCATGATGGGCAGCGTGAAGGAGGTAGGAGTAATAGGCGGACGAGCGATGTTGAGCGCCCTCCAGCGAGTTTGCCAGTCACGTGTTTTAGGGCTATCAGCCGGGTGGTCATCTCTGGCGTCAGTAAGACGCTAAATGTGGGAAACTAACAAGTAAAATGGAGGTTGTGAAAAGTCTCATGGAATACACTGATTCATCGTTTCGTTACTACATTTTCTAGCATTTGTCCTGAAAATGCCCTGATTGATGGGGGAGGGGAAGGGGAAATTAAGGCCCATTAATACCATGCCCCTGGCCCCGCACGTCCCGTGTGACGCCCGTGCACACCGCAGCCGTGCTCGCACTCACGCACAGACGCGCGAACACCACGACACACACACAACACAAACATATACACATAAAATTTGCGATAGAGCCTCGTCACCTAATTTGTGATATTTGGTTTCAGTGCCTGCCACGCCATCGGGATCGCTAATGTATATTGACTAGCAAATGCCACGGCGGGGGAGTCGCACAAAATGCTAGAGTAGTCGGTACACGGCTACCGGTACGCACCGACGTACAAAATTCGATCGCGTACACGTACCAGCGGTAACGCACGGACAGTACACTGACGCCGTACATGTAGCCGGTAGTACGGACGCGAACATCAACGCGTACCACGTAACGCGTACGTACAGACCGTACAATCCGGACGCGTCACACGTAACGGTACGTACGGAGCGGACGCGTACAGCTACAACACGGATTACACGTCTACACGGACGCATGCACGTCACACGGACGAGCGGACGTAACGATAACGACGTGACACGTACACGTACACACTACAACACACCGGGACGCGTGCATATAACGGTTTACGTAGCGGACATCGGTAGCAACGTACACTCCGGTGACCACGATAATAAGCACACACATACAACAACGGGACGCGTGCACGTAACGGTACGTACGGACGCACACCCGTCTACATGTCAGTGAGGTGTTTCCTAACAGAAACTGAGACATGATAATAACTTGCATTTAGATTGGCGAGCGTGCCATTATGGTTACCTATTACCATTAGGTATTCATTACGGTTACTCTTATGTGTCTCCGAAGAGTAACGACCACGCGCCTACAGAAAGGAGTGTTAGCTGCTTCGTGAATCAGAGCCAGGAAGTGTGAACCATGTTGATGCTTCAGCGTGCTGACCTGAGCAGCATGCCACGCTACCGATATACCATGGTGGACACCCCCTTATAAAAAAAACACTTTCTTATATAAATATATATATATATATTGCGCATGAGCAATGAAGGTCAAACCATCATGCACAATGCGTTCTTCTAGACATGCTGATGACCTTGCGCAATGTATAGGAGAGAATTTTGCTATAGGAGGCGACTAGCATGATACCCTGGGCTCGGTATGAAAAAAATATAGTTGTCAATTTAAAAAAAATGGAATCATTAACAGCTATGTATATTTCTGCGCGCAAATACTTCCATTGCCACCGCTCTCCGACTATATGCTTTATCTCGTCACTTACTCTTTAATGGCGATTTCTGTTGAAGTACAACATTTCTGTAATGTGGATGTTGTGTAACAATTTAAGTAATAAACGATGAAGTTTGATAGTCAATGTTTGCACTTTTTTCATTATACACAGATTTATTACACAGATACTGAGCAAAAGCGATATTCGATTTTGTGCTCTTAAGTTACATGATCTGTGTCTATGTTCAATGTTCCCTGAAAACATCAATAAGCGGGTGGAGTGCAACAAGAAAGTACCCGACACACTAGGGGCATAATTCTTAACGAAGGTGAGGGCGGAAGACGTTAATTTGGAAGTTAGAAAGTTAATCGAGTAAAAGTTGTAATATCGGGGAAATTAAAAAATTAAGAAAAATGAATTAAGACCAAAACAGCATAGGAGGAAATAGCAAGGAAATAAAGAGGAAATGTATGTTAGCATTATATACAAGTTCCAGTTCAAAAGTTCGATTTATTACAATTCTATTTAAGAAAGCTCATTCATTTCATAAAGGCTAGAAGTACAGCTGAATATATATCACATAGCATACACATACCGCCACCTATTGGCAGACTTTGATGCGATCAGTGTCACTCTGGACAGCACTCCACGCCATTACTAAATCATTCACTATCATTACTAAATGGAAGCGTTAGGATTTATTTTTTATGGCAGGCAATGGCGAGTAATATAGGCCCTCCAGTTTCGGAATATTTCACTATAATGTTGGTTAAATTTTAAGATAACGATGCAGGAACACAGCTGAGCCAGAAACAAGGATCGCAAGGGGAAGGACGGGAGGGGATAGAGTTTTGCCCCCTATAGGCTAGGGCGCTCTGCTAATTATGAATACATTTCTACCGATGAAAGTTTATTACAGATATCTATGCTCAGATACCCCCTAATCATATTAAATGTATATTCGTCACAAACTATAACTCCTCTGGTAAGATATTGCGCATGCGCTACACACTAACTTAGCCAGATTGTGCACTGACTTGTATATGCAGTGGGCACCATACAGGTGAGGTCTTCTTCCTATTTATTAAGAGACGTCTACTGATAAAATGTTATTCTATAAATCTATGCTAGGATACGTCCTCTCTATTTTAAATGAATAATTTTTGCAAAATATCAATCTTCTCGGAAGATATTGCGCATGCACCGTTTCAGGCGTGCAGTACGGACCAAAGATATATACAAAATATAGCATGCTGAAAGACAGAGAGGAGTGGGAGACTGAGGAATGGAGGCAGGAAAGATAGCTGGGGGCGGTAGAAGAAGAACGACGTTGAGCGAGGAACAAGAAAGAAAAGGGGAAGGGCGGGAGACAATTTTTTTTCCCCACTTGAGTTCCGGACCACAGCCAATCAGCGCACTGCATTCACTCGACTTCCTCGAAGCAACAATGTAAAATGAATACCAACTATTCCTAACCCTAACCCTAACCCTAACCCTAACCCTAA